TGGTAGAACTAACATTGAACTTAACCTTCTTGATTAACACAGGAGCCTTGCTCTTGACAGAGTTCTTATATGAACGTGTCACATGCCCATGTTACCAGATGGTCTCCTCCTTTGCCTCCTCCTCCTCCTCCTCATTCTGAAAGGTGCTTTTGCTTCATTCTGAAGTGGATGCTTACAGTGACAGCTTTCCTTAGTATCTCCTTGTAAACTTTTAGCCACCTCTTCATCAGGGTGCTCACTTTTGGGCATGGCCGAGATGCCTCAAGTAAGCCATAAATAGATCCTTTTTTAAAACACAGATTAAGATAGCCAAGTGGTGGACAAAATAATACCCTTCTCCAAAAGATGTCTGCATCTTAACCTCCTGAACCTGTGAACATGTTATGTTACTTTACATGGCAAAGGGAAATCAAGGTCGCAGTGGAATTAAGATTGTTAAAGACTGCGTAGGGAAATTATTCTGGATTACCTGGGCGAGCTCCATGGCATCACAGATTCCGAAAGTGGGAGAGAGAGAAGAGGAGGTCAGAGGCATGAGATGTGCGATGTGATAAGGACTCAGTCCACTGTTGCTGGCTTTGAAGAGGGAGTACAGAGGACACAAAAAGGAAATGCCGATGGCTTCTAAACACTGGAAAAGGAAATGGATTATCCCCTAGAGCCTTCAGAAAGGAACACAGCCCTGCTCCCACATTTATTGTAGCCAGAATGAGACCCACGTTGAACTCCAACCTACTAAGTTTGTGGTGATTTTTTTACCGCAGCAATAGAAAAACGAATACAACCTGGTATTGTGTTTGAACTAACAAGCCTGTTTCACATTTTTTGAACAGCAGAAAGTTCCTGCCTAAGAGAAGCCAAGGTGTGCACAGGGAGAGGCCCGTGTTAGTCTCCAAGTCCTCGTGTCCCTTTCCTGAGGTGTGCCAGCACACCGTAGGCATGGGAATGACCAGCAATAAAGGGAATGTGATGACTTGCCTTAGAATACAATCTATGTTTCATAGAGAATTAAAATTACCGCCACTCTGTTCTTACAGCAATTCTCAGAAGCTCCTTCGTTATTAAGAGGACAATTCTACGGGAGGTCTTCATACCTGCTCACCTGTGTCATGTACATAAAATAAACTAGAAGATGGTCTTACTTTTTGCAGAAACTGCCTAATTCTTCATGTAATTGAGCTTTCATACAGCCAAGCTTTTTTCTTTTTCTTACCAAGTTTCGAGTGCAGAAACCTCAGGTGTTAATATACTAATCAGCCTTTGTGTCAAAGTTACCCAGATTCTTTATTTGTTCTCTTTACTACTTGTCTTTGGGTCGTGCACATTTCTCACAGTGCTGAGCCTGCCCCCAAAGTCAGCATCATAAGTGTGGTGGGAATAAAACAACTGAGAATGGTACCTTGTTATCTGCTTCCATGTATAAGCTCCTTAAGGGCAGGGGTTGGTGTGTTTTTTTAATAACAGAGTTTTTTAAAAATTGATTTTAGAGAGAAGAAGGGAGAGGGAGGGAGGGAGGGAGAGAGAGAGAGAGAGAAACATCGATGTGAGACAGAAACATCGATTAGTTGCTTCTCATATGCACCCCAACTGGGGACAGAACCCGCAACCTGGGATGTGCCCTGACTGGGAATTGAACTGGTGGCCTTTTAGTGCACTGTATGATGTTCAACCAACTGAGGCACATAGGGTTGGTTTTTATTGATTGTCTTAGCCCTAGCACCAAGCACAATGCCTAACACATAGTAAGGTATTCAATAAATATTTGTTGAACGAACGTCAAATACAAACTTTTTTTTTTGGACAAGGCAGTAACAAGGAATATCTTGAACTTAGCACTGCATTGTTTACTTTAATGGATGTTTCATTTATTTCTCAATGCCATAGGGCTGTTTTGTAGACTACTGAACTTGAAGCCAGTCACTTGCCAAAAGGTCACTAAGAAAAACTATGCAAAAATGGAAAATGCTGCTTCCAGTTCAGTGCTGCCCAGTCCTATTTCCTAAAATATACATTCCTTGAAAGAGATTAAAGCAAATTTTTAAAGAGGCCAGCAATCAGGAAAAATTAACTTGATCCCTACTGAAAGTATGAAGGGAATGTTTTCTTCAAAATAATATCACAGCCCTGCCAGTGTGACTCAGTGGTTGAGCATTGACCTATGAACCAGGAAGTCACAGTTTGAGCCCCAGGTTTGATGCCTGGATTGCGGGCTCCATCCCCAGTGTGGGGTGTGCAGGAGGCAGCCAATCAATGACTCTCTCATCATTGATGTTTCTATCTCTCTCTCCCTCTCCCTTCCTCTCTGAAATCACTAAAAATATATTTTAAAAAATATAATGTTACAATGAAAGACCATGCTCCACAATTCCTCTTAAAAAGAAAAAATATTTTCTGGTATAATCATTTTGAGAATACTTCTCTTTTTCAAATGCTACATACTTTGTTTTCTTCAGAGACCAGGAATATTCTCAGCCAATTGGTTAGAACTTTGATCTGTCCACCAGGAAAGAGTATTCTCAAACTATAAGACTAGATCTGATCTTGTATTTATACCAAAGTCACCAATACTCTTTGGGGAGGTTTTGCCTCTCTTCTGTTGACCCTGTGAAATTTCTCCTGAGAGCTGAATGGTAATTGGAGTGGCAGTTAACTACTTATTAACAGTCCCTAAGGGTGACAGGGGTGGAGTGGTTATGATTTACTCTGAAACATGCGTTAATCTCAAAGTTCCACAGTGCATAGGGACATTATTTTCAAATCATTCAACCACCTGATTTTGAGGAGTCACTTGTGCTTGGTGTGGGGCTGTCTAGAAGCAGATGCAGTATTGCGGGGGCCAAGCAGAGGGGAACCAGGGTCTCATGGTAGCTTTGGATACTCCGGCGAAACAACCCTAATGTGTTTGTAAATTACTTGCTGCCTGCTTGTGATAGGTGACGCTTGGGATTTGTATAAATCTCTTTTCCCATCCGTCTTCCCACAGTACAGGAATTCTACATTCCTAATTCCTGAAAAGCAACCAGCACAGTTTTAAACCATGTTGCTATCCAACTCCAGTTGTATTTCAGATGATTTGATTAGAGACTACAAAAGAACTGCTTTCAACAAAAGCTTCTTAGAGTGGAACACAAACAGTTGTGAAGTGGGCATGCAGCCCTTTCTCTGCACTCACAGCTTCAGAGGGAAATCTATACAGAAGAGGAAGTAGCCACACACTAAACCCCACCCCCAGGCCTCCTTATGCACCTGTCAAGGAGGTTTAAATGTGCAGTGACTTTCTATAACCGAATCTTAGTTACACACCCCAGCTTTCAAAGTCTCATAAGAAAGGGCAGAGATATTTGTGTAACGAAGATGTAAACAGGAAAACATCAACTCCATATTAAAATCATCTTTACAAGATAATCCCTGCAATAGAGGCTCATACATAAAATCATAGCCATTAGATCCTTACCCTTCAGTGAGATTGTTCTTTTAATTTAAATTAATATTAAGCATATTGTGATATGCGAATGAGGAGGGTGACTTTTTTGACATTTGAACGACAATTTGGTAGTTCTGGGATATTTGCATTGACTTTCTTATTTATACCATCTTAAAGTGTGGGTGTTTCCACTTTGGATGGCACATATCTGAGAGCATTTTTTTCTCTATTCCAGGAAATCAATCAACAATGTTTACTAAAACTGAGCTTTTATGCCTAAAACTTAAAATACTCAAATCCATGTAGAATACAAACTATGTACAGTCTTATGCTTTGCTAGGAACACATGCTATTCTAGGGACAAAAAAAGCACAACAGTGCCTCCATTATCACCTTGTGAAGTAATTGCAGTGGGAGAGATTTTCCCTCCTTGAACACTTCTAAGGAGTAATGTATAGCTTTCCGCCCGAGGACGCGTTTTTAAGGACATGGTGTGTGGAAGGTGATGTGCTAGCAGCTGTCCGTGTCTGTGGTCACTGCCTTCACCTCTGTGGATGACTCATCAGACTCCGGAGGAGATGCTTGCTGCCGTCCTAGAATAGGGACTCGCGTCTCTGATCTAGATAATTTTAGATACTTTGATTTCATGATAGAAATTCCTAGACTACTTGTGGGATAAAACAAATGTTAAGACCATATTGAGTTTCAAGCTGAATTAGCAGAAAAGATAAAATGCCTTTCTATTTAAGAACATGATGATGTTTTAATTGTTACAGCATTTGGCATGCCTAATGTACACAGTCCTTGACATTCATATAATAACAAAAGAAAGTTGTTTGGGATTTTTATTTCCTAGTGTCCCCTTTCCCCTCTAGTATTTCTCCCGCCCCCGCCCCAGCCCTGGCTGTCCGCTCTCCTCCCGTTTCCCCATCCTTCTATAAAGAAAAGCTCTGAGCATGGAGGGGATGCGTGTGAAAATACCTTGTTCTACGTAGAGAGACCAAGGCTGCTTATTACCTAGCGATGATGAACAGACCACCAGCGTTGTGACAACCGATGCAGATGCCTCCGGGGTAAAACAAAGGTTTACATATTACACAAGCAATTTAACTGTTTTCTAAACATATTGCCAAGACAGTGGGAGCTGGCAGCCCACACTGTGTTTTAGGTTTTGGAGACTTGGATTAGAAGTGACTGCTGATTATGAACCTTTTTATTTGTCTTCCATGGATGACAAGCAACATGGTAACCCAGCAGAGAATTCTTCCCAGCACTTAACCTTGTCTTCCTAGCTTCCCAAGATCACAGGCACAAATCACTTGACAAAAGTAATGCGAGGGTCTTGTGCATAGATAACCACGCGAGACGACTGGCTTGTTCGAACCCTTAAAGAGTTCCGCAAAGTGAAATGTTTTATAATCCCTTTTTGTGCAGTAGGCAAGGAAGAAAAGAAAAGAGTTTGGGCAAAGATTATCCAAAAGAAAGAAAGAAAGAGACTCTTTCGGGGGTTCCAGTTGAAACACAATAAAGAACATAATTAACTTTGCGATTCTTTGTGTTTTTCATTTGACTGCAGGGAGGAGATGAAAGAGGACTGCTAAGCCTTGCATTCCACCCCAATTACAAGAAAAACGGAAAGCTGTATGTGTCTTACACCACCAACCAAGAACGCTGGGCTATGGGGCCGCACGACCACATTCTTCGAGTTGTGGAATACACAGTGTCCAGGTATCGCTGAAATGCACGGAGGCATACCTATTTTTCCATCTTATTTTCTCGATATCTCTTCATCCTTTTTTGTTTAGAAGTTACAAATGGATAGCCATACAGTGGCAATAATTAAACCCACAGTCTCCATCTTGCTTAAACCCCCATGTGTGTCTTTAAGGAAAACTGAAAAAAAACAAAAAAACAAAAAAAACGATAGCTTGGGCACTTTTCCTCAATTACCTTGCAATCTAAACGCTACTTCTGAACGTTGGAAAATAACGTAATTTTTGGTGGTTTTTATTAGCCCCATTTCAAGTATGTGTTTCCTTATTTACAGGCCAGGTGTTTGCTTCCCTAGGTGTGTACTCGTTACTTTCCAGGGGCTGCGCCTTCCAGCTCTAACAGTCGTGGTCTTGTTTCTGCCCCCGATGTAGGAAAAACCCCCATCAGGTGGATCTGAGAACCGCCCGGGTCTTTCTCGAGGTTGCAGAGCTGCACAGGAAGCACCTGGGGGGACAGCTGCTCTTCGGCCCCCACGGCTTGCTGTACGTCATTCTCGGCGATGGGATGATCACACTGGATGATATGGAAGAAATGGATGGGTTAAGGTAAAAAAAAAAAAGAAAGAAAGGAAGGAAGAAAGAGCAGGTTCCCATTTGATGTGAAAGTGCCAGGAGAAAGGCTCGGGCCCAGCGGGTGAAAGGCAGTCTTTGAGTTGAATCCCCTGGTTAAACATTTAACTTGGTTCTCAGTGCCTGCCTTGGTGACGTGAAGAGGCATTCAGGAGCACGCTGCTGTGATATTTTTTTAAAGTCGCTGCACGTCGATGTCCTAACACCACTGTGTTGACATCCTTCCCCGAGCCAGTATTTAGCACTCTCTTGTATTAATGCACGGAGCAGAGGGAGAAGGCAGAGAACTAATGCAGCCCTGAGACGCAAACAGCACCTCATCTCTGCGTGTCCACGCTGCTGCCACCACTCCGCAGCATGGACCGACATATTCGATGGAGCTTCTTGCAGAACACAAAATGCACGGGTCAGCAAAAAAATAAGAGGACAGACGCAAACAGCAGTCCCCTCCCAGGGGTGCAGTCTGTGGCCACTTGTCTGAAAGTAGACTGCCCCTCACTTTATTTCCCACCGGATGGAATGGGGAATGGGAATAATTTTGTCTCAAACAGGGGCACGATCTGTAGAGCAACCTCTCTGCATTTGGTTTTGGTGAAATAAGTAATAAAAACGAAAGCACTCATGTCGTCCTCCTATTTCTCAGTGACTTCACGGGTTCTGTCCTCCGGCTGGACGTGGACACAGACATGTGCAACGTGCCTTATTCCATCCCCAGGAGCAACCCGCACTTCAACAGCACCAACCAGCCCCCCGAAGTGTTTGCCCACGGCCTCCACGATCCAGGCAGGTGAGAGCGTGAACCAGGCTGGGCCTCGGGAACTGAGAAAAGACAGACAGACGGGTCCAGGCCCAGAGCAGCTCCAGGCCCAGAGCAGCACGAGTGGTGCGCGAGGCTGTGCCGCTGAAATCCCACAGGCTCACTGTCCAAGCCAGTAGTTAGCATTCTCCTCTCTTAACGCACGAAGCAGATTTAGGAGGCAGATTAGACATGAAAAAGGACAATTTCATGGAGAAAAATTGCCTTTAAGTTTTGGAGGGCTATTATTAGAGAAGCACTGGTGGACCAGTGTCATGATTCAAACTCCATCTGAATAATCAGAGAGATAATAAACCTTTTGTCTCCTTAAATCCGTCTAAACAAGTGGTTTTCAACCTTCCTAATGCCTCGACCCTTTAATACAGTTCCTCATGTTGTGGTGACCCCCAACCATAAAATTATTTTCATTGCTACTTCATAACTGTAATTTTGCTACTGTTATGAATCATAATGTAAATAATCTGATATGCAGGATGTATCTTCATTGTTACAAATTGAACATAATTAAAGCATAGTGAGTAATCACAAAAACAATATGGAATTATATATGTGTTTTCGATGGTCTTAGGCGACCCCTGTGAAAGGGTCGTTCGACCCCCAAAGGGGTCACGACCCACAGGTTGGCGACCCACAGGTTGAGAACCGCTGGTCTAAACGATGCTTTCCTTACATTTTAGATGGGGGTGGTACCTTGCAAGGATGCTGCAATGATTAAACGCATGTATCTACGAGTAAAGCATGACACAGTGTCTGACACACGTGGTAGATTTTAAATAAATTAAAGTTCTTATTTTATCACTTCACTTAATACATATGATGATACAGTACCAACTTGTAAGGAATTGACTAAACATTAGCATTCTTTTCCTTGAAAAAAATTACAAATACTAAAGGAATGCTAAATGAAATACTGACCACTTACTAGAATGAACCATAAAAAAAGGAACCCTAAGAACAATGTAGAGAGAGAAGCTTGGGGTACACTTTTAAAAAGCTATGAAGTCTACTAAAGTCATTCTGTGCTGAAAGCTTCACCCTATCCTACCCGTGATCTGCTGGTCATGCTAAGGGCTATCGGGCCACATCGACTCCTTTATTGGCTAAGGTATTATTGCTATTTAATGTTTATTGAGTGTTCACTGTGTGCAAGGTGAGCAGTTTTCGAACTTTTTAGTTTTATAATCCCTCATGCCCTTCATCTCCCCTCCATCAAAGTCCACGTCTACAGTTCATTTCCTTTTTGGCATCTCAGCAGATCTTAAAATCTGGGCGACAGGGAATACTTAAGGTGGGTTCAGGATGTGGAGGAAACCGTCACATTCCATTCCTGTAGCTCAGCGCTCGCAGATACCACCACAAAGCAGCACTTTGAAGTCCAGCAGCCTGAGTCACCACAGTCCCGCCGGCGCTTTCGTGCAACCTTCCCCGGGGGTCCTGGACCCTCAGTGTAAAAACACAGTGGGAGGCACTTTACAGACCTGACGTAGGGCAGGACGCCTGTGCTGCGGAGCCCCCTCCCCCGGCGGCAGAGGGCTGGAGACACACTCATGCCTCCCTCCAAGGTTATGTTGGAACATTTAATAAAGCAGAAAGGAAGCTAAATAATTATTATTGGCTACACATTAAGCTGCCTTTTATGAAGCACCTGGGTGCAGAATACTGAGCTAAGTATCTTATGCTCCTTATCTCCTTATGCCTCTCAGGGGTGCTCCGAGGTAGCTGTCATCAAGCCCCTCTCCCCCTTTTTTGAAGACTTTAAACTTTTTTTGAGCAGTTTTAAGTTCACAACAAAATTGATTGGAAAGTAGAGAGATTTCCCATATACCCTTGCTGCCACACATGCAGAGCCTCCCCCGCTATTGCTAACCCCACCAGAGTGGTCCATTTGTGATAGTGGAGGAGCTAGCATCGACTCATCATAATCACTCCAAGTCCGCAGTTTACATTAGGGTTCACTCGGTGTCACACCTTGTATGGGTTTGGACAAATATATAACAACATGTCTCTGCCTTTACAGTATCATACAGAGAAGCTTCACTCTCAGCCTCTTTTTTACATAAGAAACTAAAGGTTCAAAGGGTCAAGTGGTTCTCAGTGGACCTAGTATTCAGCCAGAGTAAAAGCCTCATGGCCCCCAGCAATGAAACCACTGGGAGACCTGGCCTTTTCTTCCAGATTTGCTCTTTCTTACCAGAAACAGGACAAACCTTTTTATTGTTATGTTATAGTTTCATCTGAAAAAGAAAAGCAATATAGGAAAATTTTCTCACCCTGCGCGGATTCAGTTCCACCTTCAGTCACAGCATGTGGATGTCATGATCCCTGCCAGGCACTGTATTCTGTGAGCCCTTGAATTAAAGAGGGAAATTAAGAGACTGTTGCCACAGAACAGCTAACCCATCTCTGGCAGGTCAGGCTTATAGTTTTCCTAATATGGATGGGAGCATTTGGAGGCGACAGTTTTTGTTTTGTTACCCAAGACCCAGAACCTACTCTCAGATTGTTTTATTTCTTAATTTATTAATTTCCCCAAGGGTTTTGTTTTTAAGTCATTAATGTGTATACCTATATATTTTTACCAAAAACAGTGGTTTTTAGAGGATGAATTGGCAATGTCTAGAAACATTTTGGGTTTTCACAACTTGGGAGGAAGGGGTCATGCTACTGATATCTAGCAGGTAGAGGCCAGAGATGCTGCTAAATGTCCGACAGCACTCTGCCCACCACCACCACCACCCACCAAAGTGTCAATAATGACAAAGTTTGGGAAACTTAAAAACAATGCAACACCATCTTCCACATTTGTGAGAACTTCAAAATTATAGTATTCAACTTTATTCTTCCCCCAACCCAAACTCCTCATGACTTAACCATTGAACAAATAGTGAGCTCTCTTTATATTCCCAGGTTGGAACTAGGTAATACAGAGATGAAGGTGGAAGTGGCTCCTGTCCTCATGGAGTTTATAGTCAGTGACTTAAGTCACAGAAAAATTCTGCTCAGAACATGAAGACTAAAGTCCACTAAAAGACCTCAATGGTTGTGGGACCAGCTTTATTGTGTTCCCTGAATTGGAGTGCACACTTTCCTTTGTTAGAGCAGCCTGAGTTTTAGAATGTAGGGGTTCCATGGAAGACACACAAAACTAATACTACAACTAATTTTACATTGTGTGTCGCCAATGTGGGCTGTTCCTGATTCTTATACTTTACCAGTTTGTTGTACATGTGATATTCCTTAATAACAGACTAGCAAGTGTTTGAAGTCAGTGTGCACATTCACAAGACAGGGAGATACCCAGAGAAATTAAAAACTCTTCTCTAGAGATCATTAAGCTTCAGCAGAGTCCACAAACACATCAGGATGTTTCCCTCAGCCTCTTCTAGCGGATCCAAACCATATCGCCCAAAGGATCCGCCAGCCCACAAAGGCCTCTGTGTCAGAACTCTCCAGTCTGAGCGTGGAAGACACAGGTAGGAACTCATGGGTGTCCCCTTTTGTTACACAGATGTGCCGTGGATCGACATCCCACAGACATCAACATCAATTTAACAATACTCTGTTCAGACTCCAATGGAAAGAACAGGTCATCAGCCAGAATCCTACAGATAATAAAGGGGAAAGATTATGGTGAGTAGAGCATCATTTGTTGGTTTAGTTTGGTTTTATCTTATTTTAGAATATAAATTGAAGAGAAAAGGATTTCTGCAGAAAGAGCCCTGGGAAAGCATGAAAACACTGGCCTAACAGTGGTGAAGGAGTAAATTGCTCACTTTTTAAAGGTCCAGGAACTCTTATAAGTCCCCAGGGTTCCATTGGGGTAATTACCTTTCCCACAGATTAAATGGTGCTCGGTCAGTCCAAAAAATGTAATGGACCTTCAAAAGTTAGCCGTTTATATTTTGCTCATCTGAGAATCAAGATGAATAACTTCTATTTATGTAATATATAAGGGGGAACTTGTCTTAACATCTTATATGCAGAGCAAAAAACAAGTGTTAAGTGTAAGGAATTTTTCAATAACCAGCATGCTAGTCTTAGCAATTAGGAAAATTATAAGTGTTTCAAATAAGAATGTAATTTTTTTAAATGTGTTTATCTTAGGGAAAACAAGGTAATAGCCTTGCAAAGACATGTCATGGAAATGTGATGTTTAGACATTTTAATAACATGACTACTAGAGTTATTTAGAGATACATATAAAATATAAAATTGGATAATATGAAGTCAAAGATACTTAACATCTTTCAACGTTTTAGTATTTATTCCTTTTGGAGGAAGCAACATATCAAATATTATGATTTAGGGAACACAGTAGATTAAGATTATTAAATTGATTGCTTCTTCTATTTACTCATTAAATACAGATATTTATATTCAGTACCAGGAATGAAGCAGCTGTGTTAGTTCATGTGGTATTCGGTTATTTTACTTTATTTTTTTTTCAGGTATTCGTGTGTGTGTGTGTGTGTGTGTGCATCTTACAAAAGCCAAACCAAAGAATAATGTGGTTTGGAAAAAAAATCTAATGAGTCACTAGCTTGCTGGAATTCCAGCTATTTTTGTAGATTAAGCTAAATTCTACAAGCACATTAATTGGGGTTCAGCTGAAAATGGTTACAATATTGGCAGCCCTATGTTTATGTATTAAAAACACACTCACTGAATCTTTTCCCAATGTATACATATATCAAATCACCATGATGTACACTTTAAATATCTTACAATTTATGACCTTGCCAGTTTGGTTCAGTGGAAAGAGTGTCAGCCTGCAAACTAAAGGGCCCCAGGTTCGATTCCAGTCAAGGACATGTAACTCAGTTGCAGGCTCGATGCCCGGCCCTGGTTGGGGCATGTGCAAAGGCAACCAATTGATGTGTCTCTCTCACATCTATGTTTCGATCTCTCTGTCTCTCTCCCTCCCATTCTCTCTGAAAATAAATGGAAAAATATCCTCAGGTGAGGATTAACAAAACAACAATAAATAAATATCTTACAATTTTATTTGTCAATTATACCTCAATAAAACTGAAAACAGCAAAGGTCAGAACTGCACCACCCAGTTAATCTAGGAACCACCCAGTTAATTTAGGTAATAATAGCTGAAGCATCCCCACCTTAGTTCCCTTAATTCCCATTTATTATTATGTAAATCCTTGCTGATGGGCTAGTCTGCCTGTTAATGGGGTCACCTGACTAAGGGCTATGCTATGAGTGCATCCCAGATCAATAAAAGCTTGGTGAGACCTAAGCACAGAGAGGAAGTCCTTCGGGACTTGCCCGCCTGGTCCCCCAATATTGCAAAATTATCTCGTGTCTTTCTTTCATTTGTTGTGCGGCTCCACTTTCAGATACCGAACCCTACTCCACGCAGAACGTGGAGGGAGTGTTAATCGACAGGTGAGGATTAGCAAAACAACAATAAATAAATATCTTACAATTTTATTTGTCAATTATACCTCAATAAAACTGAAAACAACAACAAGTAACCACAGCCACGGTGCTTACTACATGCCAGCCCTCGCAGTAAGCACTTTATAAACTTTACTCATTTCATTCACAAAACAACCCTATGTGATAGGCACTAGGCCATTGTCCAGATGAGGAAAGTGAGACACAGAAAGATTAAATACCACACAACATAAAGTGGCAGGGCCTGGATTTGAACCCCAGAGTTCAGCAACCTGATTCCAGAGTTCATGTCCTCAATCATTCAAATAGTCTACCCAGTGGTCAGCAAACTCATTAGTCAACAGAGCCAAATATGAACAGTACAACAATTGAAATTTCTTTTGAGAGCCAAATTTTTTAAACTTAAACTATATAGGTAGGTACATTGTTATTAACTTAATTAGGATACTCCTAAGGCTTAGGAAGAGCCACACTCAAGGGGCCAAAGAGCCGCATGTGGCTCGCGAGCCACAGTTTGCCAATCATGGGTCTACCCCAAGGCGTTGGTGGTATAGTGGTGAGCATAGCTACCTTCCAAATAGTCTACATCTCAGAGTACTGGTTATTTAAAATCTATCTTTTCTACTTCTGATAATATCATATTCATCATAATCACATGGGGAGGGAGGAGGACTTTAAAATTGCTGTCTTTACATGCAAGTTTGTGCCTAAAATACTGCCTGCTGATAGTGACTTATTTATATTAAGCACATAATGTACTTAATGAGTAATAAGTAATTTTCAGATTGATTTGCAACTGACTTCAGATCTTTTTCACTGCAATTAGCATATGTGTATTTAAGTGTGAAAAAAGTGAGGTCATGTCCATACACGTGATTCAAAAGGAATGACTGCGTTTGGCTTTGTGAACCACACAACTCTATCAACAAAACTATTAAAATATTTTAAATGAAGATATTACTTGACTAAGTGACAATGTTTGAAATGTGCAAATGTGGTTTTAAAGACCTTTTATGCACTATACTTTTATTTTCATTAAAGTGTGAACTTTTAAACAGTTTATATAATGTCTAGCTCAATTTACTAAATATATGCTGAAGCATTTCTATAAAAAATCCAATATTAAAAAATTAAGTATTATTTTTAAGTATTTTGGTTCTAAAGTAAGTAACTATGATTTCCAAACTATCCAGATTCTAATTGCATTAAAAACTTTCTAAGTCTTGGCAGTTATAACAACAGCAAGCACGTCAGAGCATTCCCATTTCATTAAGCTGTACGTGGAAGCCCTTTAAATTTATACCAGTTAAGCAACGGGAGCAACTATTCTCACTAAGTATCTATAGCAAGGCTCCACCTCGTGCATGATGGAACACACTTCAGAGTTAAAGTAAACGACTGGAATAATCGTGGCTGGGCCGACATCACTTTTACTTTATGAAAATATGTTTCATCTGATCTAATGCCATGTCCATTTCTTTCCAGAAAGTGAGCCATCACTTTTAGAATTCAAGCTATTTAGCAGTGGTCCTTTGGTTGGCGGGTTTGTTTACCGAGGCTGCCAGTCGGAAAGGCTGTATGGAAGCTACGTGTTTGGAGACCGTGATGGGTAGGCGTCCTGATCCCACAATTTGATATATTGAATGACACATACATTGATTAGGGGGCAGACTGCCGTAAAGTATTCAAGTGAGTGTCTCCCTTTGGGGGTCAGCTCTGGGACACACACACAGATATTATTTATGTTTAGTTCCCCTATTGTATGGAGGTTTGAAGGACTACCTAAGAGATGCTTTCTAAACAGACTTGATCAAGTTCCTAAAATAATTTTCTTTGTGTCCAACACTACAAACATTAAATCTTGGAATAATATAATAAAATGATTGTAGCAACAGGTTTAAAATAAACCATACCTTGACGTTGTATCTTCATCAATTTAAAAAAATAATAATAATAATTTTCTGTAGTGCAGAGAAGTCCTCAGGACTTCTGAGATTACGTAGGCTCTTTCCTTCATCCTTACCATAAATTTGCCATGATAATGAGTAACTTGAAAGCTATGGTTTTATATGAGTTTATAAATATTTTAAAGATAATCTTGGAAGGCTGAGAATTTTTGCTTTTGCCAGATTTTCAGGACTTTGGGCAAGTTCATTAGTCTCAAGTGGTAGGAATACTCCAAAATTACATTTTAGTTTAAAGTTAAGGTCACATTGTGGATAATTATGAGAAATTCTGTGATGAAACCCAAATTCAGAATCTTGTTTCCCAAGTCGCTGGCATTCAGGCGCATGACAGAGCTGATATGCTTGGTCACTACAGGAACTAGAAAAGTATACTGACCCCTTTATCTCCCCCTGCCCCTCTCTCTGATTGATAGCTCAGCATGGAATCTAGTCCTGGAGAGGAAGTATCATTCTCTGGATGAAGGGGCGGGCTTTTCTCAGACTCAGGTACTTTTAGTGCCCTGGGGGAACAAAATACTCCCTTTCAGTACTTTCTCCCCACCTGGGAATTTCACAGCATTCACACACGTTATGGGCTAGAATATTTTTCCCTTTAGAAGCCAGGCCTATGGCACAACAGTTATTTATTGAGTTTTATTTTAGACAACTGCTTGTGTTTTTTTAAGCAAAGGAGTGTGTTCACTGTAGGTTTATGGTGTGTTTGTGTTGCAGGAATTTCTTAACTCTACAGCAAAGCCCCGGGACCAAGCAATGGCAGGAAAAACCACTCTGTCTCGGCAATGGCGGTTCCTGTCGAGGCTACTTTTCAGGCCACATATTGGGATTTGGAGAAGATGAATTAGGTACCGTACAAACTTTTTCTATTAAGTTCCCTTCTCATTCCTTTGCCTGGAGGTTTTGTTCTGCTCGGAAGAATAAACACCACCCTCTCATCCTCCTGTGTTGGAAATGTCACCTAGAGCAAAGATGACCGCCTGGAGAGATTTCAGATGGTCCAGTTATTTCTTGGGTTCTTTCAATAACCTTTCTGTGGGGGGCCATTACATCTGATTTCCACTCCAGAAACATGAAAGTCACCAAAGCAGGAAAATGGGAGGCAGGAACAAAAGGAGAACTTTTGAGTCCCGAAGAGAGGGAAATATTAAATGTCTACGGATATTTTGGATGCATCTGAGTCATTTGTTTAGATTCTCTATCTGAAAACCTTCCCATTTATCCATGCCTCTTGGAATAAATTAAAAATTTGTTGCAATCCAAATTTCACTTATCCTCTATTTCCAAATTTTTATTTTATGTCCATTGGGACATAAAATTTGTGCAAAATAATCTGAGTTTATAGATCTGCTTTGCAACAGAATAGAAATGATCTTCTTGTTGATGATCTATGGAATAACATACAATTTATTTGTTGGTATCTATAGTAAAAGCCTAAGCGACCATTATGGTGGAACTACCAGAACGACCAGTCGCTATGATGTGCACTGACCACCAGGGAGCAGACGCTTAACACAGGAGCTGTCCCCTGGTGGTCAGTGCACTCCCACAGGGGGAGCGCCACTCAGCCAGAAGCCGGGCTCACAGCTGGTGAGTGCAGTGGTGGTGGTGGTGAGAGCCTCTCCTGCCTCTGCTGCAGCATAAAGGAAGGAGCAGCAAGCAGTGGTAAGAAGGGTAAGAAGCGGTGAGCAAGCAGGCAGTAAGGAGTGAGGGGTCCCGGATTGCGAGAGGATGTCTGACTGCTGGCTTAGGCCCAATCCCCACAGGGAGCGGGCCTAAACCGGCAAGCAGACATCCCCAGAGGTGTCCCGGATTGCGAGAGGGCACAGGCTGGCTGAGGGACTCCCCGCCCAGTATATGAATTTCATGCACCGAGCCTCTAGTATTATCATTATGTCTACATAAAGAAGTTAAAATTAGAATGTGATCAAAGAGTAGAAATGCCACTAATTTTAAGTTTTAGAGATAAATGTCACTTTCATAATACTTCCCTTTAAAGAAAAATGACAGCTATGTCCCTTTAACATCAGGGATGAATTTCTCAGTGTTAAGAAAGAGTTGTGTTTCCCATTTCCCATCGAAATCAGAATATTTTCTCTAACCGTACAGACTTGGTTTTCCTGCACCAAATGAAGGATTTGTCAGAAATCGTTACACGCCATTTACTTAGGTTAACAAGGAACTCAGACAAGATTCCTGAAACACAGAACACATATTTCAGAGCCACAGGAATATAATGATTCAAAGAAGAGAAATCCAATCTGTCCTTTTCTTGTTCCAGCATTGGAAGCATTTTACAATTAATTTTCCCTTGATATTCTCCTTCCCCACTTATAGGACCCAGAAAGATACCCTTTTTCTCTTAAATTCTCTGTACTATAATTTACATTTCATTGGCCAACTCTTATTTGAAAATACAAATTAGGATTAACTTGCTTGTGCCAGAGTTAGAGATGAATATTTAGATGCTGTGACTGAATCATTTAGATTTCCCTAGACCTTGCTACAAATGATTCACCCTCAATCATCCTATAAGCAGCAGCATCACTGGTTAAAATATCCAAGTGTCTGTCTACACTTAATACTATGTTGGGAGCAGAACCAATAAATAAAACATATATAATCCTTCCTTCCCCAAAGCTACAACGTCCTGTATACTTTGTAATTAAAAATATACTTTCACTGAATATTGATTTAATGTGAAACTGGGCTTAATTAAGAGCCATTTAAGGAAATAAGTTTTTGAATTTTTGATACAAAAAGTATTAAAAGTCTGTTTTTCCTATGTAGTTTTTTAAAATATATTTTTATTGATTTCAGAGAGGAAGGAGAGGGAGAGAGAGATAGAAACATCAATGATGACAGAGAATAATTGATTGGCTGCCTCCTGCATGCCCCACACTGGGGATCAAACCCACAACTTAGGCATGTGTCCTGACAAGGAATTGAACCTTGACCTCCTGGTTCATAGGTCGAGACTCAAACACTGAACCACACCGGCCAGGCCTATGTGCGGGGTTTTTTTATTATAAAATCAGGATGGGTTTGTAAGAAGGATCAAATGAGGTAAACTATCTAAAGAACTTGATAAGATAAATATTCATTTTTTACTTACATTCCTTTGTTTTTCATTTTTACTTTTTCTGTTGTGTGTAAGTTTTGAGCATAAGCCATGTCACATCCATTTCAGAAGTAAGAAAGTAGTAGGGTTTTCTTAATACAAAATAAATAGAGGGGAATAGAGAAGTATAGAATAAATCAAGAACTATTTCATGAATGAGAACCAAATATAAATGTTAAAGCCTTATAAACATGTAATCATAAGTATAGCTTCTAGTTCCCTATTCGTGTGATCCACTCTGAACACTGAGTTACATGGAGGTACTGGTAATGAGTAAACAAGAGTGGTTCTCTCCTGACAGGGTCTGCTGTCTGTTGTATTTCACCATCATGAACATAGCCTAGCATTGAGAGTTAGGGAGGCAGAGTTGGGATTGAGCAACAGGGTCTCTCTCCTTCTGTTTTTCCAAATTTTTATTTATATTGTTTTAAAACCTAAACATTAAAAAGATGAGTACCCCAATTCCATCTAGCCTCAAATTATCAATTAACAGTGACAACAGGGTAATCAAACCTTTCTGTCTTGGGCAGAATAAATCAAGATAAAACTTGCCATTCAACACTCATTCTACAAATATATTCTGTGCAAAGCTCTGTTCTAGGTGTTGCAGATACAGCAGCAGATTTAGAAAAATCTAAACTGTTGTCATGAAATTTATATTCTAAAGGAGGACAATAAAAGTAAATTTTAAAGATATATACTGTATGTCAATTGGTAATAAGTGCTGAGGAGAAAAATCTAGTTGTGAAGAATGATATAGATTGCTGGGGATTGGGACAAGTGGAATTTTAAGTAGTATAGTCAAGAAAGATGATGTTTGAGCACAGACTTGAAGGAGGGGGGGAGTGAACCCACTGGGGATCTACTGAAAGACAGGAACCTGAGGCAGGAGCCTGGGACAGGAACCTGCCTCGTGTGGTCAAAGCCAAGAGGCCAGTGAAGCTAGAAAGGAGTGAACAAGGAGGCAAAGCATTGCAAATGAGGCAGAACAATAAGGGGTGAGGGGAAACAGCACAGGCCACTGTCAGAACTTGGCTTTGCTCTGAGAAAGATCAGAAGCCATTGGAGGCTATCGAAACAAGAGTGTGATCCAGCTCATAGGATCTAATTCGTTTACAAGAATCACTGTGGCTGGTATGTTGAGAGAAGACACAGAAGGACAAGGCTAAAAGCAGGGTGATCAGTTAGGAGGCTGTTGCCATAATCCAGGTGAGAAATGAATACCTGTTTGCACACGAGTAGCAGTGGAATACAGAGAGAAGAGGGCGGAATCTGGGTGTGCTGTGAAGGCAGACATGTGAGACTCTGTCATAGATTTTAGGCAGGTGATCTTCCTGAGGGTGTGTGTGTGTGTGTGTGTGTGTGTGTGTGTATGGGTGGGTGTGTGCACATGCACGGGAGCACGCACACATACACATGTACAAATACATATACTGTGGATTAATTTATTGCATTTCTCTCTACATAGGGGAAATTTACATTCTATCAAGTAGCAAAAGTATGACCCAGACTCACAATGGAAAACTCTACAAAATTATAGATCCCAAAAGGTGAGATTTCTTTTTGTATTCCTTTGAGTCAAGAAATATTCTTCTTCACATTATTTTAATGCATTCAAATTAGTGATAGACAAATTACAATGAACAACTGAGAAAGATGACTGCCTATGCCTTGTCCCCATGCTACGGTTGTCCTGAGAGGACCCTCGGCCCCAGTCTGTGAGAGCTAGACTGGACTATGCTGAAACTCAAAAGCCTTATTGCTATCACACATTCAGGTCATTCTTGTTGGGGCGGGGGGCAGCATTATGTTTGTGGAATGAGTCCTCAATGAGTCCTCATTAAACGTGAGGAGGACCTGGATGTATGAGGAAGTGGCTTCAGCTCTCCTGGGAGAAACAATGAACCCACCACCCCCCTCCCGCCCCCTTGTCTTTTGAGAAAACTAGAAACACACTGGCAGACATTGCAGCTGCTCACTGTGATTTTTGGTAGGTAATCAGGATAAGTTATTTTGGCGGTTCAACATCTGAGCCTCATTTCAAAACTCCCTGGAAGTTCACAGCTCGCATGCAGGCTTCTGTGACCAAACAAATGAAAACTGACAACGTGTTTTGTTATTTACCTCAACAAAAAGGAGACTTGAATGTTTTAATCCTTTAAAGAGTATATTTATCCCTGCCCTGCTCCTCTCCACCCACCCATCACAACACACACACACAGCATTCAAATGATCTTGAATCATAATTAGTCAGTCGTTAATTTCATGGATAAAATTGGACTATCAGAAGCTGCTAACACTATATACGGTCAAATAGAAATTAGTCGCAAATTTGGAAACAACTATTACAGAACCTAAGTATCCTCACGAACACGACCATTGTTGGACACCAGTAGTCGTGGGAGCCCTGCTACCCCATGTGATGAACTTCAGATCAGTTCTATTCTAACTTATCTCCATAAGCCCATTTACACACTTCAATTCCTGTTTCAAGTCTTTTAGAAGAATAAATTCTAGTAACCTGAAACGTTTACTAAAAGCAGTAATTTAGCTCTATTTTAAAAACATTTTCCCAAGTTGTAAATTGTGTATGTTTTTCTGAAAAAGTCACTAACAAAATGGAGATTCTTGTCCTTTTACCACAAAACACTGTCTTTTCCGAGAAAAATAGAGGTACTTCAGAACAAAAAGAAGAATACTCAGTTCTAAACTGTCTGTCCGAAGCATCGCATCTAGGCATCGTCCCACCATGATAGCATCCCTTCTCTACATAAGGCACACGTTTGCTTTCACAGTAAGACAAGGACCGTCTGTGCCCAGCGGGGGTTCTTTTCCTCCTTGAGTGTGAAGCCAATGTTCTCTTTGTGAAAAGCAAAGTAATGAATGAAAAAAAAAATGTCAGACACCACGGTAACTGTTGAAGTTGGCACTATGAAGAACGGAATTCAAACTCATGTTAATTCATAAAATGCCAGCATTCTAATGATTCCTAATGAGGTCTGGGGGTTTCACTCAGATCTAACGCCATTCGTTTCAAAATAGCCATTGTTATTCCATTACGTTTGTCAAAGTTGGTCTGCTTTTGCAGGCTTCCTGGTAGTGGTATAATGAATTCTCCCTCCTCCTCCTCCTCCGGAAAATCTTTCTCTCTTCGTCTGGATTGTTTAGTCTGTTGGTGGTGCACGGAGGTGAATTTTACACCTTCAACCCATTATTAGTGTCTAATTACCAGGGTTGCCATAAGGGACCTTGGCTTTGTGATCTGAGGGCCCCCTCTCATAGGGTGGTCTCCGAGTGACATACCTGAAAGGCCTGACTTCTCATTATGGTGCCTGTTTCTGGTGAGTCGTGTCATGTGTGGGGCCAGGGTTAAGATGTGTGTTTGGTTTTCAGGAGGTCGGGGGAGTAACAGAGCCCCAAAGACACGGTCCTTGTACACAGGCAGAGGCACACATTTCCAAATCAAACTGACTGTAAGAAAACAAATGTTTTCATAAACATTTGTTGGGAGCCTCATTCTGTTTTGATTTGGATGCCAACGTTTATTATTACAGTATTTCGGCCTAGATGAATTGAATTTCTATATAAGTAGACACTTTCGTGTATGTGAGCGGGATTATTTTGCAAACACAGGCTAATTGCTGGCCTCACAGTGTTCAGAGTGTCTGCTTCAAAGCAAAAGTGTTTTTCTAAAACTTTGGAGGGAGAAATGAAAGAAAGAGCCTCATCAACTGAAAAAACAATATATAGACATTTCTTGTCATATCCAAAATCCATGTCAAATTAAAATCTTAGGTTAACTCTGTTCTTGTGGAGGAGTCCCAGATTTGTAATGTTTTCAGAATATCTTTCATACATGAATTGACTCCTGGCCCTGGAAGAGAGGAACAACAAATTATAAAAATTTTATATTCTATATTAGATGTCACAGAAGTTACTTTCTTACCATAGGATTTGTTTATTTCTATTTTTCCCTACACACACACACACACACACACACGCACACTCACATTTAAGAAAGATGAGGGAGTTTATAAACCATTTGTAATATTCTTAAGTCACTTTGGCAAAAGCAGGCAAACTTCCCTAAGGACAATGTGGTCTGAGGCTGTATGTTACATAGTCATTTACATAAGTGCTAAATCATTTACAGTGGGCGGCCTTCTCAGAAGAGCATGGTAAGATAACCTCTTATAAAAATCAAATGCTGCCCTAGCTAGTTTGGCTCAGTGGATAGAGTGTCAACCTACAGACTGAAGGGTCCCGGGTTCGATTCCAGTCAAGGGCACAGATCTTTGTTGCAGGCTCTATCCCTGGCCCTGGTCAGGGCATGTGCAGGAGGCAAGCAATTGATGTGTCTCGCTCACATAAGTGTTTCTCTCTCTCTGTCTTTCCCCCTTCCTTCCACTCTCTCTCTCTAAAAATCAATGGAAAAATATCCTCGGGTGAGGATTAAAAAAAAAATCAAATGCCATTATTTATCATGAAAGAAACTCCAATGAGACACAACCAGGTTTCTCTAAGGCTTCACTAGAACTCTGGAGTCATTTAAGGAAAAAGCAGAACATTTTGCCTCTGTGTTAGTATCCTCTGAGGTGGAGCATTACATCTCATGGTTGAGTCGCATTAGGATCAAGTCCACACCAACCACCCAGCTTGCTGGGCCCACCCACTGGGTCCCCCAAAGTCTGTAGTATGGGCTCTGCGTGCCCTATCTGGGAGCTCTTTCGGCCAGCAGTTCCAGAAAAGAGTCCAACCCCATGAGCACAAGAGCTGGGCCACAATTCTAGTTTCACATTGTAGTGCCCCCTGAGACTGGCCGAGAGTAGCAGCAGATCTAGCCTGATAGGACAGGGAGTCCATTGGTCTTGTCTCTGACTCTTCCTTAGTGTGGGCCCTGGGCTAAGTGGGTTCCTGTGGTGTGTCCCTTCGCTTTTGATATGGTCCTGAGTTCACGCTGCCCTACATCCTTTCTGCAGAGTGCTATGGAGGTCATTAAATACTACATTTAAAATATTAAACTCTGAGTGTTGTTGGTATTCATTCCATGCCCTGAAGAATTATTTTCAGGTGATCTCTCAACATTTAAGTTTGTGTTAGTTCCAAAGTTAGGGTAAAGGTGTCCGTGGAGCTGTAAAGAGCTCTTCATACCTAGTTTGCAAATATCCAAGACATGCCTTGGATGCTTGCTCTTTATGAAATCTTTTCAGGGTCAAACAGTGCTCCTGGGGGATAGAAACTAGAGAATTCCAAAAGAGTTATGCATTTTCCAAGCTTTATTGTGTTTTGGGGTTTTTTGCACTTTTGATAAAAATTCTTTCATTTTTGTTTCAGATGAACTAAAAGCAAATGACTTTTTTTAAAAAATTTTTGAAACATTACTGGGGTTCTTTCTCCAGAAATTTATATAACAAAATCATTTCTAATCATGTTGGTTTAATTACCATGTACCCAGTTGTGCTGTATTTTAACATACTGCTTATCTGCTACCCAACCAAGTCCCACAGACCGTTCCCTTAAGGGGTCTATAAATGAACAATGCAAATTCCAGGCTTGAGAGGTCATTTTACAGAAATGCTGTACCTCAGACTCCTGTGTGACCAATATCAAAACCTGCTCCTCTTGCCTGCTCCCTACCGCTCCCCTCCACGGCCCCACTTACTGCCCTTTGTTTATTTTCTTAAAATATCTTCACCCTACTCCTTATTAATACTGGATGCTGAAGAGTGCTTTTTTTCAAAAAAATCACTTCGTAAGAGGAAATCGGTTCTGTTTATCCTCTGCATATGTCTCAGGGAGCCGGCAGGCAGCTCTGCCATCCCAAAGAAAGTCATGCATAATAGAGAGGCTTTAGCCCAATAAGCCAGTCTAGTCCCAATTCATCAGTCAAAGTTTTATGCAAGTGGCCCCCCTAGGTTGATAAATCCCCACAGCGCCTGTTGACCCAGCTGCCAAGTCTCTTGCTGCAGGCGGTGTTTTCATGGCCACCCTGACAGTAATACAAACTGTTTAGCAGCTCCATTGACCTTTCAGCTATTAACAGGGACACAGGCTCCGCTAGGGACTAGTTTTCAAACATGACAGAATTTCTTAACACTAGAGGTCATGAACAAGTATATGCCCTATAAAAATCCATTCAGCATGGTGGATTTGAAATCTAAAAGACAAGGAAGCATGTCCCACAGTTTGGCTATCGTTATTTTTCTACATATCCAATAACTAAAAAGTGGATATATCTGCCAGGGTATATTTTACTCTTAATGTACTACATTTTATGTTGTGATGCACAATATCTTTTTAACCAGCAAATCCTTTCTAAGCTGTAAGACATATTTAAAGATATATTACCAAGAAATGGGGTGAGAGCAAAGTCAAAATTTCTAATGAATGGATAAGCATGCATACATAATATATGGTAAGAGCCAAAACATAACTGGAATTTTATTCATACTTTACCAAGATTTGCTTATGTTTTTGAGTAAACCATGCTTATGGAATCCATTCAATGCTACGTGGAGCCATCACAAATTCCAAAATAAATAGAAAATATTATATAATAATTTATGGAAAGAAATATCTAAATGACCATGTTATTTTTAAATGGTTATATAGTTCTTCTTCTATGTCTATTTTATTTCCTGGAGATATGATCTATGACCACAGCATTCAAAGGAATTTTCTGCTTTGTACTGTGTATTATAGTCTTTCTTAAATTACCAAATTTAAATGTTGGAATACCAGTTCCTAGAATAATTAGATTGCTATGAAAACTTGATTGAATTACCACTTATAAATGGCATTTGTTAAAAGGACATAAAATGGAGAATATGAATAGTGAAGAACATATTCTTCAAGATGACACTCATTTGTTAAGAGTTAAAACTCTTAAAAGCATTTCTTGGAATTCCCACGTTTCTCCCCTGCCTGGAATGGTGGGAGACGTCTAAACCTTCTCAATACCTCATACTTCTATTGCAAGGCAAGTATCACCAGATGTTGTAGTACTTGAGATAAAGGCAGATTTAATCTTGCATGAAACAGTCACATATATTTGTAAAAAGATGTTTTCTAGAGGAAGGTGTAATTTTTAAAGAAAAAAACTGCATATTATCATTTTTTCACTAATCTGTTTTAGTTGGGTTTTTAAAAAATCTGTTGCTTAAATGACTTGCTTTTTTCAATATTGACAAATGAATCAAAAAGTGTAATATCAAAATTTGGGAGTTTATCTTCATGGATATATCAGAAAAAGTATTTGAGAAAGTTTCTACGATATGCATTCAGTTCAATTTAATAAACATTCATTGAATGCCTATATGATATTTTCGTAGCACCTATGAATATAACTAGTTGAAGGAGATAAAATACTTTGGTGGCTTAAATGTCATCTTTCTATAACATCCTTCATTCGTAAGCTAATTATTGCCTCCTCTGTATTCCTGTGTTACTTCATTTGTGCCTGTATCGTAACAAAGATCACACTGGTTTAGTCTGCATTTGCATGTCTGTCTTCCCCATGGTTTGTCCATGAGGATCAGGATTCTGTTTTGTTTATATCTTATCCCCATGAAGAGCACAGTATTTGCCCGAGTAATGACTGGACTTGAAGAGGTTGGAATATGTAGTTTTTGTCCTCAAAGCTTTATTCTAATTGGGAAGGGAAAAGGAGAGGATAATCTATTCCTTAAGAGAAGTGAAGTTCTGTAAGAAACGGGCTATGTTTTATGTAATTTTGAGTTAAGGTATTCCCAATAGACTAACAGTTTAAAAGAGAGAGGATTTATTGGACATGCTAAGTGAGGAATGTTAGTTGTCAACTTTATAAAAGAAGAAAAAGATGATTTTCCTAGGTATTTAAATAAAAACTTAAGGGAGTCATAATATTTATATATATGACAACCATACCATCTTATATATGCTAAAGTAAACAAGCCCAAATATGAAATATTTTCATCCATAGGTAGATAAGTATTTACTAAATCTTAGGCAGAAAAATAACTTAGAATTCTGCCCATAAGCTCTATGTCCGCATATATGCATATATGGTGAAAAATAGTCAAAACATCTAATTGGAGGGTCAGTGTGGAAACAAGGGTCGGATACCCACCCTGAAAAACTGCACTTCAGAACTGGACCCCTATTCTCATGCCTGCCTTTCTTTCCTCGGCAAATTCCCATGGGAATCAACTTCCCTGCACTCTGCCTCAAACAGGCAGCATCTTCTGATTGTTGTCCTTTAACCAGAGCTACTTACATTCCTGATCTAAATGGTGTTGTCTCTTTAGATTCAGCTGCTCAGGCATAAGCCATACTGTCGAGTAGTACATGAGCTGTGTGCCTCCATGTTTTGCATGACATATAACATGTAATATATTTTTGATACATTCTACTTCTGGGTCTCTTTTTTTTTTGAATGGGTCAAAAAAAGGGTGAACAAGTGAATCACAAGTGGAACTGGATAACAGAATTCTAGTTACCAGTAAAATTTGAACAACACTGCTTACTGAGTGCCACCTGGTAAATGACAGTGGCCTATGACTCGGAAGAACTTCCTGGCTACTGAACAAATGGCTCTACTGATGGTCAAAGACACCACCATTGTCTCACAGAGTAAGAACTTTAGTTGAGGAAGACAGAGAGCAGATTTGGACTAGTCAACAACAGTAAGAAAAAGTCAGAGATCATGCTCTCACTTCCCTTGGCATAATCTTTTCGTATTTTCTCCACCTTATCCAGCCCTGCCCTTCATCCCCAAAAGACACCCTTGGGAAACACATGGAAAATATCCATTAATGTTTTCTGAGTAAAAATATGCTCGGTCCACGGAATGCCTTAGGGACCTTTCTAGAAATTGACCATTTCTAGATTTAAATAAGGAATTGAATAGATTTATGGGGTTTTCTGAATTGTCATGTTAGTTGTAAAGCACAGTACTTTCAACTCAGATTGGAACTTTTACTGAGAGAAGTAAAAGAAGTCACTATATATTTTTAATATGATTTTGAGTCATTGTAGAAACAGCCTGAGGTCAGCCTCCAAATTCTTGCTGTTCACAGTGCCCACAGGGGCATAACAAGACAACCTATCTCAAGAACGGGAGACTCTAAAGGGCCTAATTATTTGCTTCTCTCAGAAAGCTACCTCATTACCTCTTGTGGTGGTTGTGACCTATAATTATCACTTTCTTTGTTATGCTACTGAAGGAGTCCCACCGCTTTGGCCATCCTGATGATGGCCACTTGACTGGTGATGGCGCGTTTATTTACATTCCTTAACCAACAAGAGCTTTCTCATCACATTGGGGCACAGGTAACAGTTCCTGATGAGAGGTGTACCACCACATGTCTTTCCCCAAAGATTATTAGACAGTGGGTAGTTAGTTGTGATCATGGTTCCAGCCTGACTCAGCTTGAAAGACAGCCTCTTCTTTCAAAAGCAGCGAGAACCATAAAAATCTTCGGAAGGCATCTTGATCCCTCCCTAAATGATGGCAGTTATAGAGCAATTAAAAAAAATCTATGACTTCTTACTCAGCAGATAAGATGTTTCTCTTCGCTACCAATAGCATTCGTTTCCTTCACAGTAGGATAAAATTAAATATTTTAAAATGTGTATCTACACATTCATCTGTGTATATACAGACAGTCCTCGGGTTAGGACGAACGTCCTTTCGTGGTTATGTCGCCATCTCCATTTATTAAAAAAAAAAAGTTCCATCATTTCGACGTATGTACATATGTGCTTTATGTTTTTTAAAATTTATTTACCACAAGTAAAGGTCAGGAATTGTTATCTTTCTTTTAAATTTTTTTTACTGTTTCACTTTATTACTTTTGTGTATGTGCTTCATGTGAGTGACGTAGGTGCTTATATAGGTGGGTTCTGACTTACAGCGAAAATCACGTTATGTCGTGCCGTAGGAACAGATCTCCGACGTAACCCGAGGACCTACTGTAAATATATATATATATATATATATATATATATATATATATATATATACAATTCTTTGCATAAAGACTTGAAATTTTGAGTCAGTAGGACACACACTCATACACATACACAGTGCAATATCCTTTCCAAAAAAGTCAGCCTAAAAATGTATCTCAAAATAAATGTAAAATTAAAACAAAAATGGATTTACAAGCATTTGTTTTGCTGAATACTCTCAGCCTTGTGATAATGCCAAATATTCCAATAACAAGTGAAACGTATCTCAGATACTACAAAAAATTTTTGTATATCTGGAAAAAAAATTTTTAATGTCTATACATCTATATTGTTAAACTTGTAATTGCTAGGAAGTTTTAGCCAGCAAATATAAAATACCACTGTAGCATAATTATATTTTAGTCAATGAATTTTATCATGACAAAGTTTCTTACAATGTTTGCTAATGTCCTCTTTAGTTCAAACTGGCTAGTTTGTTTCCTCTCAGGTGTGTATTTTCTATCCCTAGAAAGTTGTCCCCCAAAAAAGTTGTCAATCTTTCAGAGTCACTTAAAAAAGGGGTCTGTTTAGAAAGCAAGAGATATACTTTGTGAGCTACAGAATCACTAGATTTCACTCCAGTATTGATTTTCAACCAATTTCTGTCTTTTGTTTCAGACCTCTAGTGCCCGAGGAGTGCCGAGCAGTGGTCCAACCGGCCCAGATGCTGACTTCCGAATGCTCCCGGCTCTGTCGGAACGGCTACTGTACCCCCACGGGGGTGTGCTGCTGCAGCCCAGGATGGGAGGGCGACTTCTGCAGAATCGGTCAGTACTTCCATTGTCCCAGCGAAAGACTGGGCAGGGGACAGTCCTTGGGAACTCAAGAACTTAAGACCAGGTTATTTCTTCTTGAATTATGGAGTGTTCAACATTCAGTCATTTACAATAATATTAATGCTCACTCTGCTCCTGAACTAGCAAATGAAAGCTTTCCCATTTTCCTAATGTAAACATTTCACATATATACGTTAGTCATAAACATAAAAGACTTTTAAATAATTGCATCCTTTCCAAAAGTAAAAATTAAAAACAGATCATCTAGGCTCCCAGTCCTGAGTTTGAGATTTCCCACCAGCCAAGGACTTCGTGTTCACAGAGCCCCTCTCCCAGTGTCAGCATTTTCCAGACGCCCCATAAATGCCTCTCAAACTTAACTGCTTGTTTTCTGGCTACAGTGCACTAAAAACAGGGTTCTTCTGTGAGCATTAAATAAAAGGGGGAAACACAATTGCCTAGAGGCATATATGAGATTTTTAAATCCTTTTGGCCACTCCCTTGTGAACCATCAACTAGGTGTGCAGATGCTCAGAGAGAGAGAAAGGAGGTTTATTCCGGGTTCCTCTATCCTTTAACGAGGGGTTTCCTCAGTTACATACCATGATGTTCAAATCCTACTTGGTGTGAAGTAAGAAAGTTACATAACTTCAGATACTGAGTTTAAGATATCTATGTTGAAAATGCATTTTCAGGATAAATATTTTTTCCCTTTCTTTTCTTTATGTCTATATCAGATGAAGGGTGTTAACTAAACCTATTGTGGTAGTCATTTCACAATCTATGCAAATCAAAGCATCATGCTGTACACTTTAAACTTATACAGTGATGTCTGTCAATTATTTCTCAATAAAACTGGGGAAAAGATTGCCATAAGGGTGAAAAATGAATTTTCAACAACCAGCATATATATATATATATATATATATATATATATATATATATATATATTACATACAATAAAAATTTTGACCTCTGCTATTTTAAGTATTAAAGTATCTCTTGCCAATGAAAATTAAAAGCCCCATTCTTAATTCATAAATGTTAATTTTTTTCTTTACCCTAAACATGTATTTGTTTCAGAAAAATTACAACCATAACTTGTCTACTTTGTATATTGTATGACAAAAAGTAGCCAATATTTAAAGTTATATATACAGCCTACATTTTAAGCTTAAATTGTTTCAGCACTAATAACATTTCATGATTGATTAATACTACGGTGTTCAAATGCACTAATATTCTAATTTCTGAGACTATATCTCCCCTCTGCTCCCTTTGATTCCTGACAATATGTATTCTCTCTGCTTCTTCTATATTGTGTCCATTCTGTTTTATTCCTTACTTTGCAGTTTGCCTAACTTCTCAAACTACTTGATCACAAATATTTATTGAGTGCCTTCTAGCAACAGTATGTTTAAACTGATGGCAAACAAATTATTTTGAATATGGGTGACATTATACATATACCATAATAGGTATCTACACTAATAAAAGAGAAATATGCAAATTGACCATACTTCATGACACCTCCACAGCCAATCAGGAGTGAGTATGCAAATTAACCCAACAAAGATGGCAGATTAATTTGCATATGCAGGCACCAAGCGGCCAGGGGCAGGGCCCTGCTTGCCCCTGGCCCCGGCGATGAAGGGCAAGCAGGCCCCCACAGAGAGCAGACACCAGGGCCTGCGGTGGCATCAAGCAGGCAGGTCCGCAGAGAGCAGAGAACCATGGGGAGCAGGCCTAAGCCAGCAGTAGGACATCCCCTGAGGGCTCCCAGATTGGAGAGGGTGCAGGGTGAGCTGAGGGACCCAACCCCCCCCACCCCCCCACCCTCATGCGCAAATTTCGTGCACCGGGCCCCTAGTTAATAATAATGTGATATAAATGAAAATAGATATTCTTTGAGCTAACATTAAGTTTTATTTCAATAAAGTACTTTAATCTTCTCAGTAAATCAACTTACATAATTTAAACATATAAGATAAATCAGAACCATTTCATAAAATTAAACCATTTGTGATATTTGTGACCCAAGCAAGAATTTTATTCCTATACTCACATAGTTTACTCATCTCCCACAAATTTAAAAGAGAGAACAGTCTATTTCCTTTTTGTTCTCCCTTTTCCATGTGTCAACCACAGACCCCTTTTTGATTAATGTGTTGCAAAGGTTAAAATGACCCCGTCCCCTGAAAGTATAAGGAAATGTATTCAAGGAATTTGATTCTGCCTACAGGGCTGTACATCACAGATTTATCCTATCAGCAAAAGACAATTAAGTTATATACCCAATTTTCTCTCTCCTTCTCATTTTAGCAGTAAATCTTTACATTCCCACCAATACTGTAGGGGTGAAAGTCCTTTTATGGAGAGATTCTGTGCTGTAGAGTAGCCCTGAAAAGAACTGCTAAGAACATCCTTCACTGGCCAACTGCACCGACCCAGGAAGGACCTTCCATGTGTTCTGAGAGGCAGCATATGCTGGGTACCTCGTAGGAGCAATGAGGAGGGGTCCTAGGAAGTCCAAGTGCTCACTACTGCATCAGAACCAGCACTGACACCTGACCATCCCTTTATGTTGTTTGGAGATGCTCAAGCCATGGCCTCTCTCGTGGGCCAGGCCCTTCCCACATTGAGGTCCTCCCTGGGGGAATAGGAACATAGCATTACGTGGAAATGCCCTAGTGGGGCCGAGACTTGCAAAGAACTGAAATCCTTGTTTTAAAGAGTCTGTTTTGCAAGGGATTAAAATTGTTTCCCATGATCTATGCTTTTCTGGCAAGGTCTCCCATTCTCTGCTGAGGTCTGGTCTGCAAATAACTTTGGGTTTGAAAGCGTTCTTCCCTTCTTGTCTTTATTATCTTTTGGATTATTCTGTGACTGGCTTCCGCCTCCTCTCCCTCCCTTCCCTTACTCATCGACGACTTGTGCTGTTTCTGACATACACGACGTGAGTGTGATTGTACTGCTCTTTTCTTTTCCTCCCAGCAAAATGTGAGCCAGCCTGTCGTCATGGAGGTGTCTGTGTTCGACCCAACAAGTGCCTCTGTAAGAAAGGATACCTTGGTCCTCAGTGTGAACAAGTGGACAGAAACATCCGCAGAGTGACCAGGGCAGGTATTCTTGATCAGATCATTGACATGACATCTTATTTGCTGGATCTAACAAGTTACATTGTATAGTTTCTGGGACTGTTTGACTATTCCTTTCCAATGGGCATTTATTTTTTATCCTGTCATTAAAAAGAAAGACTGTTATCCTGCTACACACTCCTGTGATTTCATTTACTTTTTATTAATTTAAAAATAGTTTCCAGAAATGTGCAGATTCTGTGTGTGTATGTTGGCACGTTTGTTCACATACGCACGTACACACACTCACAACCTCTATATGTATGGTTGCATAACAGATGGGTTTTAAAAATATATATATTTCCTTGTGTGGAGTAATTTACACAGAAATTCCATTGTAAATTGATAACGGGATTTTTTATATTACCAGAAGAGATTATTTGACTTCCCAGGAATTTTCTGTCTGTAATAACTAAAGTCAACTTTAATGGAGTTTTGAACCATTACTGTGCAATCTGATGGATCTAATAAAAAAGGCAATATTTTTATATTAAAGGACTATAATGTGAGAATGTTTCAGAACTCCCTGATGAATTTCTAAATGGGCAACTTGATTTAAAACTGTAATCTTCATTTTCATCATTGTATCCAATTACAGAATGTTATGCACTTACCTTTTTATTGGCAGAGAAATCTGGTTACTCTAGCTTAATATCAAGATTGTTCTCAAGTGTTTTATAATTAAATCATAACAGCATATTCTAAAACCAATCTTCCTAAAAGGTCTGCTTTTATTGTATATTTTATTTAACAATAGGCACTGGGTTTGTGTTACATATTTATATTTTTTATTTTATTTTTATAATATAGACATCACCTAGATGAAACACCTTTACCCTGTCCTGTAAAATACTAAAGTTACATTTTTCACCATCTTAATTGGAAAGAAGGGGAGTGAGAAAGCAAACAGTCTTAAATGTGCTGTGGATCTAATCTAGCAATGTATCCTTGTGCCAACATGTAATCCTTAACGACGGATGAAAAAGCAAGAAAACAGCCAATCCTTATAAAATGCCAGCATTACACGTTTGTAAAGTACTTTTCACCGTAGCAAGACTGTCAGTGTATGCGATTAGAGCGTAACAGATTGCACATCAACCGAACCTCACTGGAGAAGAGCTCACTCGCTTTTAAACAAATCCTGGCTATGTAAGCTGTCCCTTGTACAAACTTTTCATATAATAATTCTTGCCAAATATGACTTTTCATGTATATGTTCCTCCAGATCTCAATGAAATTCCTCTTTGGTTAATGTATGAATAAATTTCTGTAAATGTTCTATTCAGGTTTTCAAAGAAATGCTGTTCTCACTCACAACTGTAACAAGTCTGATAGACATTTTTCTTAATGGTTTTCAAGGCCAGCTCTCCATGTCTGGATTATAACAAAATTATAAGGCCTCTTTGCACTACTGAAAAAAACACCTACCCGTGACACGCGCACACCTACGACAGGCTGCCCTCCAGCAAACAGCTGTTCCTGCAGAATCTAAATTGGAGGGTGGTATAGATTATGCAGCGCAGGCTGACTTCCCAAACCTGCTCCTTCCTTTCAGGAATAGGAACCTCAATGAAAAAGAATAAAATCTTGTAACTAGTATTTCTCTACTGATTTAAAGCCGGAAGAGTTGCAGTGAAAGCACAGTGAGCATTTATACAGAAGCCACAATGTGGAAAGATTGGTTAAGCACACTGCTCTTGTCTTCCATATATGATTACTTAAGTTTCAAGTGACCTCATGCCAAATGGAAATGGGTTGAGAAATCTTGGTTCAGTGCTTAGTGAACAATGGCTGCATTAAAAAGTGCATGCATAATTTTGCACAATTTAGATTCAATTGACAGTCTATTCAAAGAAGTCTCAGAATTAAATGAGCATGGAGACCAAATTGCCCTCTTACCCCAGAAAAGGGGTGGTCCCTTCTAGTCACACTAGCACTTCATTGGCCCAACAGTGTGACAAATCTTGCAATGAACCCTGCAGTAGCCTGCATCTGTAGGTTAATAGCAGTCTTTTGTCTCCATTGCTTTCTCTTCATAGCCCTTTTACTGAATTCCATCACAGAAAGTTTTACAATTAAAAAAAAATGTCCTGACAACCATTTTTGTAAATGGACCTTACCATCTAATCATCCCTTATTCAATGTGGTGACATTAACAAAATGTGAACTTTTTGTGAGGGAGCCAGCTGTCTGAATCTGTCAAATTGTGCAGTTTTATTACACATTCTCCTGGTCATAGTTTCACTGAAAACAATAAGGATACTGCTATATATTCAGTAAAATCTGGAAAATCCAGTGTTTCTTCTTACATCCTGAATCTTTCCATCTCTTCCAAAATAATATTTCCCATAGACAAGGTGTTATATTGTCATTAGTTCTCCTATTTAAAAATACCTATATTAAATTGAGCAGACCCCGGTTTTTTATATAGTCCTTTCCTAAGTGGAAGATGACTAAGAAAAACATATGTACCCCAGGTGTCATTGCTTTTTCTATTTTGAGTCATTAGAATGAAAGAACACAATCTTCTAAAAAGAAGATAACAAGATCTGTGGATATCATACCCAAGCAAAGAAAGGAAACTCATTGGAGTCATTTCTTTCTGTTCTTAGGAGAGACATAAGTAGCAATGATTAATGGATGCCTACAGATTTTATTTTTAAAGTATTTTTTGTTGATTTTTGAGAGGAAGGGAGGAGATAGAGAGATAGAAACATAGATGAGAAAGAGAGACATAGATCAGCTGTCTCCTACTTGCCCCTCACTGGGAACTGAGCCCGCAACTCGGACATGTGCCCTAACCAGGAATCGAACCAGGGACCTCTTGGTTCATGGGTAGATGCTCAACCACTGAGCCACACAAACTGGACAAGGATAGCTACATATTTTAAACTCAGTGGTCATTTCAGACATTTTTTGAACTATTATTTCAAGTAGATTTTTAAAATATGTGACCGGAGAATTGTCTTAAATGATTCATAATGAGAGACAGACAGGAATTGGTTAAAAAGTGGGAGCTAAGGAAAAGTTATTGTTTCTTCCCACAAATGGCAGCATCTCCACCAACTCAGTTCATAAAGCACACAGTCAGAATGGAAGAAATGTCCTTGTGAATGCAGGTGTGTGAGATCAAGATGAAATAGTGAAATAGAAATATATATTGTTATGCCTTTATCTGTCCTGGCGTAATATGTGGGTGTCAGTTTAATATGAAACGCTGCTATGGTAGACTAGAAAGAATTGGAAAAAAGCTTCCTGCCACTGCTTCTACCACAGTCTTGTCCTAGTTAATAAAATTTTGTTTTCTTGCCAGTTATATAAGGTAATGAGAAGAAAATGAAATTGGCACATCATTAAAGTGAAAAAGAAGGGATAATTTCAGAAATTTGAGTGATGATAAAAAGCACTTTTCTTCTTTGAATTTTGTTTCAGTGCGGCTTTTGTAAAATATATTTTTTATTTTATCACAAAGAATACTTAGATGTTTTCTCAGATTAATGGACTATCTTGTAAAGAAAGAGCAAAGAAACCTACACATTCAATATATGCACACAACCTAAATAGAAAACTCTTTTTCATTTACATACTTCAGAACAGGCGCTTCTTCTGTATTTATTTCCTTGAAAATAATTACATAATGATGTACTAACAATTTTTAATATATAGGGTGTCCCAAAAAATGTATACCCACACTTTGAATAATTATAAAGGCAGTATTTATTAAAATTTTCAAAATTGAGCTATCAGCTGCCAAGGTATGTATACATTTGGGGGGGACACCCTGTATTTCTTTTAATATTGTTTTTATCTCTGAATCATGTACTATACAACAAAGCCTGCTACGTATAAGTTATGAGGTTAGATGCCACAACTAGAGTTTTCTAAAGTATACATAAATTTAAACTTTTACTAGTCCAACTTTCTTAGCTTTAAAACATAAAAAAACCAAGTCCAAATTTGTAAGAGGAAAAATAAGGTATACCACAGGCAGCTGTAGTTGGCTGATCAATAAAGTTTCTGAGCATCTCTACAGAATGTTACCTATGATAACTATTTCTCTCCTCTCTCTCTCTCCTCTCTTTCCTTTTGCCCCTTCCCCATATAGCTTTCTACCTTTTAACCTCTCCCTTCTCTCTCTCTCTCTCTCTCTCTCTCTCTCTCTCTCTCTCTCTCTCTCTTTTTAACGAAACAGACGTTCCCAATACACCCATAATGAAGATGTCCTGGGGTAGGATACTACTGATTTTGCTGGTTATTGTCTTTAATTTATTTTTCTGAAAAATACTGTCTCCTGATGTCACATTTGCTCAGACTCTGTACCATGAAGAACAATAGATAAACATACAAGACTGATCTATTACAATTGAAAGAAGTAACCAAAAGCAGAAATGACTACCAGCCCAGATGCTCCAGTTCAGCTGGTGTTCCATCACAGCTGCAGGAAAGACACAAAAATATCCCCAGGAGAGAGCTTCAGCCGACAGTAAGGAAAGTTAGTAGCTATTTCCTATTCAGGCAACAACCATTAACGTCTACTCAGTGGTCGCCAACCGGTGGTCCGCGGACCCCTGGTGGTCCTTCAGGTCCGGAAGGTTGGCGACCGCTGGTTTAAAGAAGCCTTTGGAGCAGGTCGCCAACTCTGGCAGAGTCTCCTTTCCCCACCCCAGCTGAGACCTGAATTTGCAGGGAACTCAAACAACAGTTCCATGCCCAGGAAATGTATGTTTTTCTATACTATCCCCAGGAAGTCAGTGGGCCTATTATCGCGAACGCTGGCAATAGCTGCAAAGTTCCTCTTTAGAATAGCCAAAAGAAATATATGTTTGTTTTCTTACCTTCTTTCTCTTCATCACACCAACACGAATTAGTCATACCTCCAATATTTCATAAGATGTCAAAGAAGGCGGGAAACCTAAGAATAGAAGCATTTCAATATTAAAAATATTGAAAACATGATCATAGAACCTGTCAAACGCTAGTCCTAGCCAACTTCAACACTCCTTTCTCTTAAATATCTCCTCATAAGTTTTGGAAGTTGCCTTAAAATAGGTGTGCAGGCAAGTAAGATGTATTCATGAAAGCGGGAAGGAGGGGTGTAGTGCTGGTTTCCTGTCAATCACAGTAGTAGTTTCTCCAGCTGCCATGAGGAGATTTGTTCAATTAGAAGATTAGCACTTTTCTTAAATTCTTCATTGAATGCAAACCCAAGATAGGTCCATCATTTACTTTGCTTTCTTTGATATAGCTCATATATAAATTGATTGGAAAATAAAAAATAAGCAATGGATCCTTTGTATCAACACAAAAGTAGGCTTAAAACCTGTTATTGCTTTTTTTTTTTAAGCCGGACTACATAGTGGCTTACCAAAAAATCCCCCAAAATATCAATATGAATTCTAAAGTTATATCTCACATACATCCCAAAGTCAGACACCATGTTTCAGTCAAGATGTTTTTGCATATGTAGATGAAGAATTTACTTAAAATCAAAATACATATATACATATATATGCAAATTCACTTAAAAGTTTGGTGAGTTATTTCAATTGGCTATAATCTTTGAAGTTCAAAAGACATTTCATTTTAGCACATAAGATAGGAAGAACAGAACATTAACAGTGATGGGAAATTCATAATAGCTAGTTTTTCATTGTGAAGACAAAGTTATAAAATAAACTTTGTCTTCACAGTTAAAAACTAATTCTTGTACA